GAGCTACAATCAAACTAAGGTGTAAATGTGAAAGGGTGGACTGATCCAAAGACATAGCTCTGTTTCAACTCAGAAGAGTTATCGTGCTGTGAAATTCCGTTTCGAACGGAAGAGTCACATGAAGCGGTAGCTACTGTTTTTACCATTTGTTTTATACAACACAACATTGATATATTGTAGCAAAAGAGTTCCCTTTGATCTAAAAACAAACCGACGTGACCAGAAAAAACAAGCGCGCTTAAACTAGTCTTTGCATCTGCTCACGTCAGCAGCGTACACCCATGGGCAATTCGACGTGCTATTGATTAAGTAATTTGGTTATACTAACTAAGTTGAAATTGTAAATTGGCCACCGTAAAGCTTTTTAACTCTTTACGGTGGCCAATTTACAATTCAACTTAGTTGATAGAACCAAATTACCTTGTCACTACCACCGACGCAGCAACACAGTTTCTTTTGAAGCTTTCACCCTTTATTCATTTGTGCTATCAATTAGTTGAATTTCCAAAGTTCCATCCTGTGCAATTATATATATATCTTATACCGTGGGTCTTTTCTGCATTTTTTTAAATTAGTCTCATGGCATGATATGATTATTATTATTTTTTTTTTGCTGTGAGTCTCTTCTTAAAATTCTAGCTTCTGCTAGGCTGCGTGCACCATTGCCAGCGTTTGAAGTATAATTGTTACGCAAGACAAATTTTCTTTTGTGACTTACGTGAGGACTTCACCAGAATATTTTTCATCAGTCGAGTCTACTGAAAGACCCTTGCGTCTCTTTCAGTGATTGTACAATTCACAACTTCCTACTCACATCTACTCGCAAACATTTGCCTCTTGGTCGACATATTGAATTTTACGCTTTGTGTATTTTACCACGAGTTAATTGCAATACTTTTTGTTTTCGCTTTGACAGATGACATTCCCTCGTCGCCTGAGGTTTGCATTATTTTTAATATGTTGCATGCAACCGTTGCATTCAAATGTTCTTGCTAGTTTTACAACAGTATTCGCGTCAACTACATCAGTAAACACGTCTACGAAGGTGGCGGCAACTTCATCTACGACAACACAGGAAACCACATCAACAACAACTAATGCCACAGAAATAATTATAGTGACGATGTCAATAGGTAATAATACTAATACAGCGTCTGTAGCAGACATGTACACCACAGGAACACCAATGATGGCGACAACAGAAGCGGCCGCTTTAGCCACAATAGTATCAGCCTCAACGAAAGTGTCCGCTTCAGCCACAGTAGACACATTGGTATCAACCTCAACGAAAGCGTCCACTACAGCCACAGTAGAATCAACCTCAATGAATGCAGCCGCTACAGCCATAGTAGTATTAACCTCAACAAAATTGTCCGCTTCAGCCACAGTAGACACATTAGTATCAACCTCAACGAAAGCGTCCACTACAGCCACAGCAGAACCAACCTCAACGAATGCGGCCGCTACAGCCATAGTAGTACCAACCTCAACG